ATTACCCTTTTAATTTTAAATTTTTTTGAATCTTTTTAAATTTTAATTTTAATTTTAAAAATCTTTTAATTTTATTTTTTATCACAATATGTGGTTACTGAGTTGTTCTCGCGTTTTCGTAAATCACAGGGGTTCTCGTTTGAACCCTTCCCTATATATATATATATATATATATATATATATATAATCATTCGTTTGAGATATTTAAATATATTTATTAAATAAGCTAAAAGAATAATATAATAATTTTATTTTTGACAATTAATCAAAATATTCAATTAATTTTTTTAGAAAGAAATATTTAATTAAAATTAGTTACCTAGTATATCAATTACCTAATATACATCGGATTTTAAAGATGTTTGTGAATCAAAGTATATCATAGCGATAATGTTCACAATGTTTCACGTGTATTACAATGCATTTTCTTTGTTTTATGAAATGTATCATATTGTGCATTTTCGTTATTTTCATTGCTTTACAAAGAAGTATCACATTATGCATCTTGTATATGTGTATCCATGTATCACATTAAATATCATTTGTAGGTACCACAATGTGTAAGTTGTATTCACATAAGGTTCATCGGAATAAGGTTCGCCAGAGAGAGAAAAGAGGAGAGATGGTGGAGGATATTTATAAAATCCCTAAAATGTCCTTAATTAATATTTCAAGTTAAAATTATCAAAATTATTAATTTCATAATTTAACCTTTAATTTGTGGTTGAGAATGGATCTCACGATTACCACAAACAAATCAGTTCTCATTTAAATATTTTGGACAATTTTCATCGAGAGTTAAAAGGACAGATGAAAGCACATGGAAGATTAGGGTGGAATGACAACTAATTAAAAGGAGTGTGGGTCACAACTCACATTTTGGTCTTGGAGGCTGACACTCACAATCATCTTGCTTATCATTGAATACCATAACTCTAATAGCAACTCATCCTATCACATACCCCTACACAGAATTCAATAATCATCAAAAACCAAACCAAACCAAACCAAACCAATATATATACACATATGAGATCACATAAGATCAACCTCTTTTCATGAGACTAATTTTTTACACTTGAAACTTCACAACAAAAACACTGCAAAGATCGTGAGACCATTTTTTTACACTTGAAACTTCACAGCAAAATGCTGTGAAGGTTCAGCTTCTTTTTACCTTCACAACGTTTTGTCGTGAAATTTCAAGTGAAAAAAATGGTCTCACGAAAACAGGCTGGTCTCACATGATTCTAAGTATATATATATGGTGTAACTTCTTTTAATAACTCGTTAATTTGTGAGATTCGTGAAATTCAATTTACACCAAAAAAAACTTAAAAAAGTTGATAAAATAAATTTAATATTAATTAAAAACATTTATTTTCTCTCATATGTAAACTAATGCAACAAAGAGTTCATATATGAACCTATGTGTGGGGGCAAGTTCAAACAAAAATGCTAACTATTTAAGAAAACAAGAAAAAAATCGTTAATATACAAAATCATGTATGATTCACGTATAAAATCACATTAAAAAAATAACATATAAATGTCAAGAGGAATGTGATCATTAAATCATTGTCGTTGCATAGAAAAAGCATTTTCTAATCCAACATGCATAATTAATAACACATGTAGACATGTTACATGACATATAAATAGAAACAGAAACCATGGCATCCAACTACATTTTTTAATATATATATATATGAATGAAAGATATTTGCTTCTTATTTAAATACACAAAATTACAAAGAAAAAACACACAGAAAAAATAATCAATAAATTTATATAATAAAAAACAAACACATAGTTTTTTGAATCCGTCAAAGATGAAATAATATTATAAAAAAATTCAAAATATCGCATAGGGCTTGTATGTTAGCAGCTTCATGAGCTTAATAGAACTCGTAGCTTATTCAATCAGCTATACTCATACGTAAAATCATATCTATATAATACGTTCCTTTTTCCACGAAGAAGGGGAAACTCATACGAGTCTTTCCACATAAATGGGGAAATGCGTTTTCGATGGTGCCTTAATGATATAAAAAATGGCTTATTCAGCAAGTTTCTAGTGGGAGCTTTATGAATAACACCAATTTTCTTTTCAAATCTGTCTCTCCCAATTAAAAAACAAGCTCCTTCCATCTATGAAAAAACTCTTCCAAACAACAATCTGTACGGACAAATGAACTCGCACATCTTAACTCATACATGACTTAATGGAAAACCAACCAAACAGCCCGTAGTCTGCTATTAATGTTTATTGTTTCCGTAATTTGATTAGAAAATGCAGAAGTGCTGAATAAATTCGTAAAAGGGTACATGATCATACCTTTTAATTGATATTTCGATGTGGTCGGAAATGAAGATCGAATGGTTAATTTATAGCTGACCTGCCCTCAAAATGTTTGGAACTGCAAGTGAAGTCTGGCTGGTCAACTGAGTTTACCACTAGCTCAACTTCCGGACTTTCTAACTCGAGTATCACCTATATACATCATCACCATTTTTTGTGAAATGTAGTTGCAACAAAAATCAATAAAAGTGGACCAAAGGGATGCAACTCGATTGATGCTTCATTTCATTTTGTACCCCAATGAATGTGTATATATAGAGAGAGTCAGGTTCATACGAGGACAAAAACCAAATAAGAGAATAAGAAAACAGTCGAATATCATATGATTTTACACTAAAATCACGAGTAAGATCACATGTAATTCATGCAACTTTGACCATGACCTGAGGTTTGCTGGTCACATCGCTCACACACCTTTGTGTTGACAGTTAGTGTAAAATCATGTGATTTTGAACATGATTTGGCAATTTTTGTGTTCTCTTATTTGGTTATTGTACTCGTATGAACCCCTCTCTCACACACACACACACACTCTCTCTCTATATATATATACACATAGAGAGAAGGGGGGGGGGAGGATGGAGGGGCGAAAGAAGGGGAAGTTCAAATAAACCAAACCAACCCATGTTATCCCACCCACAACAGTTTGGGATATAGGCAGATCTGACCTCTACTTCAAGGAGTAAAGTGGTTGTTTCAAATAAAAACTATAGATATTTTGAAAACATGGAAACCAAAATTTTATGCATCTTCATTATTCATGATATCATGTATGATCATCATGAATATCATGCATTTTCTTTATAAAATATTTTTCATGCATCATGGATAATACATGAAAATAGTTGGTTTCCATGTTCCCAAAATGTTTAAAAGTTCTCATTCGAAATTTGAATCTTCCCCTATATAGTCGCAAAAAAAACTGAGAACCGTGAGAATTAGCTTTCACTTTTCATGTGTTGTTTCACCTTGTAAAAAAATGAATGTGAATGTACAGTGTTGTTTCACAATGTGAATATTTTAATGTGTACTTTTTGTTTCAAACATTGTGAAAACATTGTACCTTCACATGCATTATTTCACAATCCATGATCAATGGTTCTCACGGTTCTTAACCTTTTTGTGGTTCTCATTTGATTATGTCCATATACATATATATATATATATATATATAGAGAGAGAGAGAGAGAGAGAGAGAGAGAGGCAGGCTGATACCAAGATGTTCTTTCCACGCCGGAGAATCGGAGCAGGGACATAGAGGTTACACTGGGGTCCAAAAGACTGCAAAAGACCCAACACAAGTTGTTAGACCTGCTCACATAATCAACAAAGAATTAACATCATATTACCGGCCAGAATCTCCCGATATTGAAGCCATTGACAAATGCTACCCCTTTACCCCAGCCATTGAAAGACATGTATGTGTCCATTACTTCCTTGACAACAAAACTACCAGAATAGAAAGCTGGTTCTTTTGAATGCACCCCTGCAAATATAAATACATGATGTTTTTCTAGAAGGTTCTCTAAGTAATAGAGGTAATGTCAAATATGCTTGAAGACCATCATTTGTTTAGAGGTATTAAAATTCTGGTTGAATAACAATTGGTATTATATTTTCCATTAGATGCAGTTAGATAATTTGATGTCGCTTGTGCTGTGCATACACCATTGTCCTCCAGGCTAAGCTTGATATACAACAACCTATCTCTGGTTGGATGCTTTTTTCTTTCCAACAGATATGTATTGAGGGGGAAGGTTAAAATGAGAACCAGTATATGCAATGATCATAACACTATGACTTCAGTGAGTATAGCACCAATGTGTATATACTTGCATATGTAGTGTATATATGTATACATAGACGTCTTCAATAGAAAAGACTAAATATCATGAGAATGTAAGAAAGGAAGGTTAAAGGAAAGCTCATATGTGAATCATTGAAAAAATTCTATTTGAAGATGCATATGCGAACCGACATTACAGATTTATTCATATGGGTTCACATATGCATCTTCAAATGGACTTTTTCAATAATTCATATAAGTAACATTCCCTTAACCTTTCCTTCTTACCTTGCCACGCTATTTACCCTTCATATTTGTACCTCCAGCTATATGTGTATATATATTGATGAATATACTAATTGACATATACATAATTTGATAGTGTATATGCATCAATGCATATATGTATAAACTGACTTATTTGAACTTCCCCTATGCATTGATTATGGCAAGTCAGATGGTATAAGTTACATCTATAAAGACTGTGAAGTCAGAATGTACCCAGGCTGCTTTTCAGGCTTTTACGGGTAGAAACTCCATCGAAATTTGGATATGCCCTGTCGAAAACAGGATTGATCTTCTGGGCTTCATTCAAATTGTTAAGAGGAATTGGTAGCATTCTCCACTTGAGCAGAGGTTTCCCATCTAAGTAAACAGTAGACAGGATGCCCTATAAAGAACAAGGAATAAATTATCAACACCATCTTCTGCTTATGATGTTGGTTGGTGAAGGAATCAGGCAAGTGAGATACTCCCTCGTCCAAAAATAAGCGTTCACGTTTCTATTTCAGTTTGTCCTAAAATAAGTGTCCACTTCCGAAAGTAAGTGCCTACTTTCCAATTAATTATGAGATGGAGAAATTCATTACTTTCTATCATTAAGGGTAAAATTGTCATTTAGTGGATTAAAAAGTGAAAAATTACAAATTTCTAAAACTATGCCTTTTTCATTATGGAATTTATTTTGGGTCAGGTATCGGGAAAACCGCAAAAAAATGAGAAGCTGAGGAACACCCTAATAACCATTAATGCACATGTCCTAATAACCATTTATCTGTACGGTTAGGGTATTCCTCAGTTTTTCACTTTTTTTTTGCCCGGGGGGGGGGGGGGGGGGGGGGGGGTTGGTTCCTTGAACCTCGCCATCTTTCTCTCTCTCTCTACATATATACACACACATAATATATATGATCTGTCTCAAGTGGTGTTATCCTTTAAGAAACCATAGAATGTTGCCTTAAACTGGTGCTAGGTTAGGAATCTTACTTTGCTATCAAACAAGTACTGCCCGTAATTCACACGACCCATGTTTTCAACCTAGAAAAGAGAAAATGTGTGAACAAATTATAAAAAAACAAAAAATCAATAGCAAACAAAGTAGAAGATTACAAATTATTAAGCGTAAAGGGAGAGGTTATTAGATTGAGTCATTGGACAAGTGAAGGAAACTAGTTTACCAGAATTAACAATCTACTTCTGGAAGCACATTCAGCGTTAGGAAGATTAACATGTTTATTTGACCATCTATCGATTGTGCCAACATAATGTGGTTGTTCTCTTTGATCTTCAGAGATGCATGTAACAAACACTTGCGCTCGGTCATGCACCTGAAATAAAAAATGAAAAGCACTTCATAATATACTGCCAAGTACATATATCTTGAAAGGAAAACAGGTATGAAGAATTACATAAAATTTGTGATGACTATAAATTAGATCTGTCATAGACATCACAAATTTTATCTCGACGAATTTGAGGAAGAAGGGGGTGCCCATGGTACTGCTCTATCACGCTGACATAGTGGAAAAAGTTTTTTAGGGGCCTTAAAGGTGGTTAGTGTCATTGCATGTGGCATTACAGTTCAAATCTCTTTGGCTCTCTTTTAACTTTTTTGGCAACAACAGCAAAAAAGAAAAAAAAAAAACCACTGAGTGTTGCAAAAAAACCACTTATGTCATTTTTAATGAAACACACTCTTATACTTAATTATTTTTATTTTACATTATACTTGATTATTTTTGTGCCCCCACTAGGAAATTTTTCTGGATCTGCCTCTGGGTATATGGTCCCAAGATCTATAATTGCCTCAAAAGGTCCAATACATATACATTGTTCAACCTTTTGAATAACAGTAAAAAAGATCCTATGGAAATTTGTTTTTCCCAGGAAGTCACAATTTCGAGTTGCTACAAAACGTAATATAAATACCTGTATGGATAATGAGCCAAAAGATACTTATTTACCCTTACCTTTGGTATAAACAAACTGCTCCCATTACCCTCCGTTACGTATTCAGAGGCATATAATAAGAATCCAAACATCTGAACATGAGATATGGCCAAGTGCAATGAGTTTAAATAAAACTCTGATACGATGAAATCAGAAAAATGGTTTTTTGAGATGAGCACAAATACCTGGCCTGCAGCCTCCATTGAAATTGGGTTCTCAGATTCGATAGCTTTGATGTGTGTGTTACTGTCCAGTGCATCAAATAAAGATGCTGTTTTTTCTAATCGAATACGACCATATCCTGTCTTTTTCTTATTCAAAGGAACTGGAGGGAGAGAACCTGAACTGTACTTGGCTATAACCCCCCGCAATGCTGAAAACAAGGCATCCTCTTCATTATTATTATTATTATTATTATTATTATTATTATTATTATTATTATTATTATTATTGTTATTATTATTATCATTATTATTATTTATTCGAATATTGGTCTTCTCAAAAGAAAGGGATTGCTTTAGAAGAAAAAAAAGGCAACACACAGGAGTATATGAATCCTAAATGTGAAATTACCTTCAACAATGTAACATCCTAGGCAACCATACCATATATTATCCACTTATGTCCACACTTGGACTCACGGTTTTAAAACGTGTATGATAGAGGAGGCAACCTTTGTTCCCCTCCCCAACCGATGTGGAATCTTAAAATCTACCCCCCTTGGGAGCCCAGCGTCCTCGCAGGCACACCAGTCCGATTCCCGACTACGATACCTGTAATATCCCAGGCAACTGTACCAGATTTTGTCTGCTTTGTCCACACTTGGACTCACGGTTTTAAAAAGTGACTGATATAGGAGGTATCCAGTCCCTTATAAAGCAACCTTTGTTCCCTCCCCAACCGATGTGGGATCTTACGAACAAAGAAATGAGGTGTAACATAATAGGCTGTGTTTGATAAGTTATATAGCCCTATTGGCGCTGGAAATGGGTAGAATATGGTGAAAAAACCATCCTCCGTCTATACGACAAAGCATGTTAATGGATTAACTGCAGAGATGCAGATGACAATTGAGAATTGACAATTGTCTGCGACATCCTACTCCAAAATGTATAGGCTTCAAGTAACAATTACTAGGGAGGCATATTGAGTGCCAACAGACCACTTATTTATTAATTTCTAGAACCATGATTTTCAAACAGCTGTGTGAGAAAAAACATATCAAACATATGCATGCAATGTAGAGGTCAAGTGTGCGTACATCTTACCTCCCCATACCTGATCTCCAAGTGGGATATTTGGGTTTTAGGTTTGGTTTATGCATGCAAATCTAGGTTGTCCCTAACAAGCCTAGAATGACCATATCATGTACAATAATAATCTTCTACACAGTTTGTTGCCCTAGGAATGAGCGCTAAAGATATTCTACACAATGTACCATGAAGAAGCATTTGTGGGAGATACTACCTTTGAACTTTGCACCATCCACATCGCCAGACTCACTAATAGGAGCATCCTGAAAAAAAGGATTCCGTTCAGGAGAGAAAGAACATGTGAATTATCAATAGTTTTACAAGAATGGTGAAGAGTAAATGATGAGGTTCCTCACATAATCATAGGATGTAAGATCAGCATTGTAGTCGGATTCCTGAGCAGCATTTGCACCATTATAAAATCCAAAGTTGGTTCCACCATGAGCCATCTATAAGCGAGAGAATACCACATCATGATGATATCAGGTAAATGATACTTAGTAAAGTCCAGTACTTTTTATAGCATACATAAAGCACAGCAGAGCCATTCCTCGACAGAATATTTTCCAGAGCAGATGCTGTAGAAGTTGCATCCGTCTTAGCAATATTCTCTCCCCAATGGGTAAGCCAACCGGTGTAAAATTCTCTGAAATAGTGTCTTACGATCATTATAAAATGAAGTGATTGAAGGATAAGTCATAGGAATCGAAGTGAGATACCTACGCGGAAAGGGGTGGTGATTTTCCTGGTGCATTAAATTCCTTTTGCAACTTAAATATTGGCCAAGGATTCTCTCCAGTTGAAAAATCAACAGCTACAGTTAAACTTTCCAATATTAAAAGCCAAGTACATTGATGAAACATGCTCATTGCACAACATAAGTTGTAATCGTATTCAATAACAAGTAAATTACATACTACAACCTTTTTTCACCTTGGCATCGATACAAATTTCAGGGATGAAGCCAAACATAAAAAATAAGTGTACTTTCATTTCATTTTTCATTCAGAAGCGGGAAGCAACTAACTATATGAGTAAAATACTAGCCCTGGTCTTCAGAGAAAGAGACAGCTTAAATTTGCAAGTGCTTCCAAGTAAATTGGAAACATCGATTAAAATTATTCGAGGTTTAAGAGGTAGGCTAATGGTTTAATGAAATGTTTCTATCGTCTAAACTCTAAGATAGGCCAATGGACATCTTACCTGAAAAGACGGCATCTCCACGTATTGTTCCTTTGGTGAGAGTGTCTCTAGTGCCTCCATCTGTAGTATATCTACAAATCAATAATCCAGACAAAGAGGTGGTATTAGAATAAAAAATCAAGATAATCTTCCCATGCCTCAAAGAACAGAGAATCCGTGTTACGAGAGAAAGCATAAAAAAGTATCAACATTTTCAATGTATCATCAGACCACATAAACCAAAAATACAATAAAAGATTACTGAGTACACTGGGCACTTCCTAACATGGATTAACATTAGGCATGCAGTATAGTTACTTTTGAACATGGTTAAAAACTGGAACTTTTTGTGATTTTCCCTTCTGGAAGGTATGTTATGGATCAACTCAACGCCCAAATAGTGACAACTCAATCTAGCAATACAATGGTACCATAGGCATCTATATAAGTGTACAAGGACAACCAGGCTACCATTATCCCAAAGCCAAAAGCATGCAAATGACAGCTGATCACTGAAGTATGCTGCTAAGAAAAAAAAGAACATTTGTTACCATACTAGATACTACATCAACTTACAAAATTAGATCATCGCCTAGATGTGACCGTGCTAAGTCCACCAAATGATGCAGATAGTCTTTGTCAACTCCATATGAACCAAATTCATTCTCAATCTGCAATCACAATCTGTTAACATGTTTATGAAGATCTAAATGAGCAAACTATATATGTTGACAATATTTTTAACTGAATTTGACCTCATGTTATATAACCAAAAGCTTATTCAAATTAAAATTTTATTTTGAGCTAAGTGCAAATAAGCTTCCACACTCGATCTGCCATTTAGCAGTTTAAGTTATAGCTATGAAGCACAACTAATATTCAATAATACAGGTTCAGTAAGACATGATTGTATCCATACTTGATTATAGCAAGTACATGAACAGGATAAGTAAATATAGGTACAGAGACTGGAAGGAAAATCTATAAATACCACCAAACTCGCCACAATTAGTATATGCAGGAAAAACATGTTTTGAGGAGAGTACAGATTACAGATTTTTGGTTAGGTCGGAATAGCAGAGATAAAAAGTTTATATATTGCTCCGAAATACATAAATGAACTGGCCCAGAAAATACTGCTCAAAACAAAAACGGATTAAAAATCTCCTATGTACTAGAGGCTTCAAGGGTGTTGCCCCTAAACCCCCAGCACCTGGACCCCCTAGTCAAGGTAGCATCATCCCCTAGACCTTCGGCTCATTGACCGAGCAGTGAGACCCCAATGAGAAGTCAGAGAGAATTCATCTGGTGTTCCATAGAATCAATCCAATATACTAAAAACCCTTTGTAAAGGACTATGAGAATTCTCAAGTCGATGCGAATCTGAAGAACAACAGAATCCCTCTGCTCCAGAGTGTAGGTTTATTTGATCACGTGCATAATATGCACGTTACTTAATGAAGTCCTGGTCTATAGGGCAGTCCTTAGGAGTTTGTTATTTCCAGTTTTTTAGCTTTT